GGAAAGAAGAAGAGGCAAAGGCCGGCGTGGTGCCAGTTTTCCCTCCACCACTACTCTAACCCAAAACCCTAAGTGTCTATATGCAAACATTGGGGGGTGGGCACAGGCACGGGAGGCAAGAGTGGTGCCATCCGGCCACCTATAGCCATGAGTGCCCACCATAAGTTCCTATATGTGAACTTCATGAAAATGTTACGAGTGAATGTCTAAGATGTACAATAAAATTTGGGGCCCAGGTGGTTATGGCAAATACAAATGTAATATTGTTGCTCTTATAACACAACTGTGCCCCCCCAAAAAAACCTACATGGGTGAAGTTGAAAGTGAAGAGGATGGAGGTGTGCGGCGAGGGATGGGAAGAATAAACTGAGGGAGCAAAATGCTCCCACAGGGAGTCAGCTCCCCCGCTGGCCCCAGTAAGCCCTCCCTTTCCCCGAAACCCACCCAGGAAGAGCAGCCTAACTACCTCTCCATCCAGGCAGACCGCCAAGCCCACAGAACCCCAGACCATGGACTGACGGAGCCCCGAAGGCCACTAGAAACTGGGACCAACAACCCACCCCCACCCCAGAACCACCCAGACCCCCAAAACTCGACCCCAGCCCTATAGCCGGCCTGCCGCCCAGAGAGGCCACCGCTCCCCAGCAAGGGCAGCCCGGCCAAGAGCGCCCACCCAACCGCTGACAGAGCAAGGGGCACCCAGGGGGCCTCGCCACAGCAAAGGGGCCAACCAGCCAGCCCAGCACAGCCCCCAGCCACCACCAATGGCCACCAACCCAATACCACCCCAGAAGACATACTACACCAACCCCAACATTCGGGCCACTATCAGAACATATAACACAAGGACACCCAGGCTGGGTCGACCCCCCCACCCCCCACTAGCTCCATGTCACGCCCCCAGCCCATCCTTTAGTCTTTTACCGTCAGCAGCATTTCACATTATTGAAACCAATTACCAAGAAGTTTTATTTAGATTCTTCCTTTTTTAACAACTTCAACAGGCTGTTTTCTAATGGTGACCTTCACTCAGGCTATTTTTAGAACACTAATCGCGTGACTGTCCGTTCAACACTGGTGTGTGTACAAACTACTTGTACAGAGCTGTTTAAACTTAAATAAATTTAAGAAAACAGCATTAAACTCAATCAGGAGGACCACAAACAATTGGGCTACAGTTGGCCAGTTGGTAGGAGGGAAACAGAAAGGGCGACAAACTGTTTCTGTCCTGCACTACACTTTTGCCAAGTTGAAGCACCAACCAGATTTCACTGATATTTATCAGATTCATATTCAGTATGAGATCGGGATAGTGGGAGCAGAGCATCTGTTTACATAACATCCAGGAGAGTTTGAGATATCCAGCCTTCAAGGCCGACACATGGGAGCTAGACTCAGATAATCACAACTGTTTTGGAACAGGCCCACACTGTTGATGTTATGCCCACCTTTAAGTCTTAGAAAGACCTTTCAATGGCGAATTCCAATCATACGAATTTCTTGGTCATTCTTGCATCACCGAGCGTACGATTTCTCCAAGATTTATTTCATTCCACCAGTGACCACGGGAACCACAGCTGGCCACTCACTGTGCAAGGATTGCCTCCAGCTTGTGATTCTGCTCCACAAGCGTCTGAGTGTTGACAGCTTGGCATATTCCATCACACAGGCCGGGCAGCCTCATCATGACCCAAATGGCTGCTGAAACTTTCCGAATTTCACAGTAGACCTGGGGTCGGATTTATAAAACTTGCATACACAAAATTTGAGCCCAGAAACTTGCGTACGCCACTTTTCACGCCAAGGTTGTGATTTATAAAATCCAAACTTGACGTGAAATTGTGCTGTCCCTCACGCAAGCTTTGACCCAGGCGTACGCTCATTTTGGAGACGGGAAACTGCAACAGACGGTGAAGTGAGGAATTAGAGCCACACTGTGTAATGATCACTGTCAGATATTTAATTTACCTTCAGAATCAGACTTAGATTTTTATTAAACTTGTGTGTATGTATATATCTTCTACATCCTCGACCAACAGTACAGATAGGCACATTATCTTCCACTTCCCCCAGGAATCCATTACATGCCCCGTGGCATTCGTCCCATCAGGACAAGAGGATTCTCCTTTCCCCAGTTTCCTCATGGAGAAAATTTGATCAATAGTGATGAGAGACCTGTTGAGCAGATCCATCATTTTCAGTTTTGGAAGATATGCTAGAGAGGCTACAAAAATAACAGCAAAGCAGGATAAATAAGGGAAGGTTCAGGAGAGAGGGGGAAATGTGTTTACCTTGCATTCCAAGTCTGTTGAAGACCACGACCTTCCAGCCAACCTTTCAACTGAACTGAACTGTGATTCCTGAAGTCGGATGTGTCAAAATGTGCTCTCTTTTTCTGTTACTGTATTATTGCTGTCTCTCAGTATAATCCACTCCAATTGTTTGCTTATTTAAGAGAGATGCAGATAATGTTTATAAATTATGTCACAAGTGAAGGTCCCCATTGGCAAAGGAATGATTCTTTAAAAATTTAACTGCATTTTTATAATTATTTATATAGTGTTTATTTCTTAAAGTGCTTAACTCAAATGTTTGTAAAAGTTCTAGAAAAGCTGAAAAATGAGAGTAACACATCCATCTGTCTTACCAGGACCTGTGTCGCCAACACATGGCTTCCAAAGGTGCCTTTGGACGCCTGGAAGCCGCTGCCCTGGGCGCAGTGGGAGGAGCCAGTGGAGGGGGCGGAGTCGGGGCAGGAGCCGGTGGTGCTTCGGTAGGGGGAGGAGCCGACTCCAGGGTCAGCAGTGTGTCGTCCCAGTTCAGTGATGGGGCTCAGCCCAGTCCCAGCTCCCACAGCAGCACGCCGTCCTGGTGTGAGGAGCCGGCACAGGCCAACATGGACATCTCTACTGGTCACATGATCCTGGTAAAGTCACATAATACTTCTATAAAACCACAGTTAGGAGTTTTAGTCATTCAATTCTTGTTTACATTTTACTCAACGTCCTTACCATTCCTAACTGAGTATTTAAAACACAGATGAGTAGTTTAAGGAGAAGTCAAAAGTGAAGATGCTCAGAGATTTGTGGGTTTTCAACAATTTAATTTTTAAGCTCATAAAGATTTTAATTTTATTTCTTATAGGAAAATTCTAAATGAAATTTGTACTTTCAAACAGAAATTATTATTGAGAAAACGTTCTATTTTAAATGGTAAATAGACTGTACTTATATAGCACCTTTCTATCCATCCAGGACACTCAAAGCTCTTCACACTACAGACATTCACTCATGCACACACTGATGATGGCAAACTACAATTGTAGCCACAGCTGCCCTGGGGCACATTGACAGAGGCGAGGCTGCCATGCACCGGCGCCACCGGACCCTCTGACCACCATCAGTAGGCAAGGGGGGGTAAGGTGTCTTGCCCAAGGACACAACGACTGAGTCGACTGGACGGGGATCGAACTGGCGACCTTCCAGTTCCAGGACAACTCCCCTAACCACTCTACCACAGCCGCATTTATACTACAATCTGTGCCCTCAGTTACCCATTCACACTCACAGTCATCCAGCACTCTATTCCATCTCTACAAAGCGAACACAGATAATTCCTTCTCTAGACTAGTCAGTGCTTTAAACCACACTCAAACACTGATTGGACACACTTCAGAGGCAGCGGGGGTTCAGTGTCTTGCCCACGAACACTTCGAAATGTGACCGAATAATGGTGAAATTGAAATGCCAACTCTCACTTGAGAGAAAAGACATCCCTAACCACTTAGCCAAAGCTGCCACTTTACCTTCCTCTCTGCTGTGCTTCAGCTCTCCACAGTCCTGGCCACTTTCTAGCTGTAACCTTGCAAAAAAACGGACAACAAATCAGATGCGCCTCCTGACTTTGATTGGACTCTGATTGGATTTATTTGGACAATTTTGTTGGCGCTCAAGAGTTTTTACTGACAGTGGCACAGTTACAGTTTATAAAATGTCAGACATTTTTTGTTTTTTAATTAATGTTTTTAGCTTTTTAAATAATAGATGGGTTTCAGTCACGTGGTTTCGAAGGCTGAGTGATTTCTAATGGAGGGCAGGAAGTCAAATGTCTATGGAGGAAACTGTTGTAGAGAGTCTGTATTGTATGGATTTAGATCCTATTTCAAGACAAAGATAGCAGCAATTAGTCCACAAATACAGTATGTCAGACATGACTCGTAGGATGAAGATGGATGAGTTTTCGACAGAACTTAAAGATTTGATGACAATTGACGGTGTCGATACCACACATTGTACGTCTTATGGTGCATTCACACCAAACACATTTTGAGCGTCAGGAGCATCAGGTTTACAGTACGTGCAAAGTCTATGGTGGAGGTGCATCAAGGAGCATCGGGAAGTGCTGCGGCGCATCTACCTTGGCTCATTTTGAGCGTTCGAAGTGCTTGACTAATGAATGCAGGTGGAAAATCTGAACTTTTGCAGCTCGACATGGCACGTCAACCAATCAGGGAGACTCCACTATGTGATGTAGTGGGACAGTTTTCTGAATGATGCCCACTAATCTGAGACAGATGGACAGGAGCTCTTTGGCTGAAATTGAGTGCCTGTAATCGGTGTCGTGGCAGGAGATGCGGGCACCGATGCAGGTCAGCGGCTCGTCAAACTGGGCTTGGGGAAAAAAAGAAAAAAGAAATAAAGGAAAAAATATTAGAGCACACTAGGAAGAAATAAGTATAAACACTCTGGAGAACCAAATGAACACAGAGAACAATAACCATACTTTACCACCTATACAGTTTAAATAGAAAATAAAAACAGTGATATACTCTAAAGCTAAAAACAGTATGGCTGATGCAGAGGTCCCATCCGATATCATTAGATGATAGTGATTAGATGATAGAATAGGTGATGATAGTGATATTGCACATGTTAGATTATCCATCCATCCATCCATCCATCCATCCATCCATCATCTATACCCGCTTCTTCCTTTGAGGGTTGCGTGGGTTACTGGTGCCCATATCCAGCAGTCACAGTGCGAGGGGCGGGGTACACCCTGGACAGGCCGCAAGTCCATCACAGGGACACACATAGAGACAAACGAGACAAACAACCATTCACTCTCTCACTCACACCTAGGGACAATTTAGAGTTATCAATTAACCTAACAGTCATGTTTTTGGTCTGTGGGAGGAAGCTGGAGTACCCAGAGAGAACATGCAAACTCTACCCAGAAAGGTCCCTGGGCCGGGATATGAACAGGCGACCTTCTTGCTGAGAGGCATCAGCTCTCCCAACTGAGTTAGATAAATCATAGATAAATAAAGTGCACAGATGTATTAAAGTGACAGATGACTCTTGGTTTCACATGTTTCGGGCGGAGTTATAGAGTTTGATGGCCACTGGTAGGAAGGGCCTCCTCTGGCACTCAGTGGTGCATTTAGGTGCAATGAGTCTTGCACTGAATGTGCTTCTGTGACTCCCAACAGTGTCATAGAGAGGGTGATAACTGTTATCCATAAATTCTTGCAGCTTTGCCAGCATCCTCCTCTCAGACACTGCAGTCAGAAAGTCCAGCTCTACTCCCACAACATCTCCTGCTTTTCGGATCAGCTTGTTGAGTCTGTTGGCGTCTGCCCCCCTCGGTCTGCTGCCCCAGCATGCCACAGCATAAAGGGTGGCACTCGCCACCACAGTCTCATAGAAGATCCTGAGCATCATCCGGAGATGTTGAAGGACCTCAGACATCTCAGAAAATAGAGACAATTTTGGCCCTTTCTGTAGGCGGCGTTTGTATTTTTGACCCAGTCCAGTTTATTATCAATGTGTACCCCCAGGTATTTGTAGTCTACGTATGTAAAAACAATATCAGAACAAATACTCACCCTGGAAAAGACCAAACAATAATCATCGTGGAGCTGTTTAATACTGAGGTTGTGGATCTACCTGCTGAATAAAAATTTCTATGCCTCCCCTTGGCTTTCATCTGCTGTTCAGTGTTGTTGGCTCCGTTAGTGCAATCTGCCCTGGCAGACTGGTAACAGGACCGAAGCTTTCCCCAGCAGTCCGCTTGATACTCGATCTTCTTCTCTTCCCTCTTATAATCGAAATAATAAATTGCTTACTGCCTCATCAAAGTCTTCACTCTTTCTCAAAGAGTATTTGTCGAACTCTTTTTTCCTCCATCTCTGCCTTTGAGCTTCTCTCCTCTCTCTGCAAAGGTTTTAATTGCGGCTTGGTCCATCTGTCGACATCCACAACTGGAGCTCCATGTTTATTACCTGATTGTTTTGTCTCAAAGACACTAAAACTAACTACACCCTTAACGATGAAATGTAGTTGTATAAATATAATAAATTTAATGAGTTTCTGAAATCTCATTGCTCACTTCTGATTTCACCATATCCCCGTTGCCACCAAACTTTATTCAACTTTTGCCTCTTTTTATTTTCATCCTCCTGTAGATTTTTTGCTGCTTGTCTAATAATTTCAGGTGTCAGTCAGAAAGGAGTTTGGGGGTTTTATGTTAGTTCAGTGGGGTGGGGGTGAGACCAGAGAGTGGATTGATGTGTTGTTGTTTTTTTCACATGAATCAGCCCTCTTTTGTATCCTCCTGCTGCAACGTGCTTCAAATATGATGAACATTAATAAAAAGAGCTGCATTTTTTTTATTTGTTACATAATTTAATCAATGTATAGTTATTTATCATTGATTCAGTTAGAATGATTGCAGCAGCCATAAACAACACAATAGCCTACATGGGCATTTTTTCAGATGGCAGATCCTCCACTTTTTCACTTCCTGGCCTCCAGCTGAATTTCGCGGACTCGCTGTACTGCATTGTGACGTCACGTGAAACCCACCTATTGTCTTTCACACATGTCAACCCCTTCGGACCATTACCTGTATAATGAGCCTAAAAAATCTGTAATTTAAAAAAATTCCGTACCACTGACAGCTGTGGGGATTTGCAGGCAGACTGTCGGCCACAGAGATGGCATTGTCTGCAGCATAAAAAAGGAGGGAGGACAGGACTTATTTCTAGCAGCAGAGCGGGTTGGAAGATTGTTATTTGATGTTATTCATTGTTTTTTTATGTCCTACAGGCTCTGAAATGTAAAATAAAACTGAAACTTGAGTTTTTGAAAAAATCTGTAAAACAAAAAAAATCTGTGAGATTGCTCTATATGTTTGTATATCTGCAAAATGAGGGAAAATCCATGTAAATTACGGACAATCCGTACAACATAACATGTATGGTGTGTTGAAAGCAGTATCCATATTGTTTTATGATAAAGGCTTACATGGAGGACCACCTGAGGAACAAGGACCGTCTGAAGAAGGAATGGGAGGCTCTGTGTTCCTACCAGGCTGAGCCCAGCTCCGTGTCTGTGGCTCAGAGCGACGCCAACGCCAAGAAGAACCGCAGCTCCGACTCGGTTCCTTGTAAGTCTCAGCAAACACTTAAATTATTTCAGTCAGGCTTTAGATGATACAGTATAATAACTGGACACCTCTTTGTTTTTCAGCACATTTACTGTATATGGAGTTTATTTAAATTTGGTCACAGCCAAGTGTTGAACCCCAAGACCAAGAAAGGAAGATTTTAGAGTTTTGATGGATGAGTCTTGAAAGTAAAAAAAACGTTCCTTAAAGTCCAACACCCTCCATTTTTTCAAATTGAATATCCAGAAAAATATGAGAGAGATATAAAAAACAGGTATGTCTTATTGAAATTCTTAAAAATAATAATAATAAATTGTTTTAAAAATTATTTTTAGTGAGTTTTCAAGTTGCTGCTCTGGAAAAACTGTTTCATTCCATATATGGGCAGTGATGTCAGGCGAGTCTCTTCCTTAAGGCAGACACAGATTTACAACGTGCATCAACGTATCATTTTAATTTAGCCAAAGTGTTGCGCAGCTCCACAGTAACACATCCAATGAGGGGATTAATGGCCATTATTTCTTCAAAAACTAAAACCTTCAGAAGACATGGGTAAAGTTTGTTTAAGTCAAGCAAGCTGACTTCTTTGCTCCATAGCGTACCGGTGTTCTGTGTTTGAAACATTTTAAACCGGAAGTATCCAGAAGATTAGCAATAAGTCAGCAATGACCTAGGCATTTGGATTTAGGGGAAAGAAAGGTTCGGTGAGGCGTTCCGGGCAAGTCCCACCAGGAGGAGACACAGAGGAAGACCCAGGACAGGCTGGAGGGACTTAGGCTGGCCTGGAAGTACCTTAGGATTTACTTGGAGGAGCTGGTCCATAGTGGCTGGGCCTCTCGGCTTAGACTGCTGTGAACCGACAGGCATGGTTGGGTGGATGGATCTGTACCAAACTGAAGCTTTTCTCCCTTCCAACGGGGGTGAAAGCTCACCCGGCTCTTTGATCGCAGTGGAGAGGAAATATACCTTAAAAAGACACACTACAGAGTTTGCCGCATTGCCGGTAGTAAGTCAAACTCGTTTCCGGTGAGAGTTGAACTCCGCCAAGGTTGCTTTTTGTCACCGATTCTGTTAATAACTTTTATGGACAGAATTTCTAGGCGCAGCCAAGGTGTTGAGGGGATCTTTTTTTTTAACTCTTAAGGACAGAATTTCTAGGCGCAGCCAAGGTGTTGAGGGGATCATTTATGATGACCTTAGGATCACATCTCTGCGTTTTGAGGATGATGTGGTCATATTGGCTTCATCAGATCGTGATCTCCAGCTCTCACTGGAGCGGTTCGCAGCCGAGTGTGAAGCGGCTGGGATGAGGATCAGTGCCTCCAAATCCGAGACCATGGTCTTGAGCTGGAAAATGGTAGGGTGCCTTCTCTGGGTTGGGGAGGAGGTCCTGCCCCAAGTGGAGGAGTTTAAGTATCTCGGGGTTTTGTTCACGAATGAGGGAAGAATGGAGCGGGAGATCGACAGGCGCATTGGTGCTGCATCTGCAGTGATGCGGGGGCTGTACCAGTCGGTCCACGTTCCTACCCTCATCTATGGTCACGAGTTTTGGGTAGTGACTGAAAGAACAAGATCGTGGATACAAGCAGCCAAATTGAGTTTCCTTCGCAGGGTGTCTGGGCTCTCCCTTAGAGATATGGTGAGAAGCTCAGTCATCCGGGAGGGACACTGCTCCTCCACATCGAGAGGAGCCAGCTGAGGTGGCTCAGGCATCTGGTTAGGATGCCTCCTGGACGCCTCCCTGGTGAGGTGTTTCGGGCATGTCCCACTGGGAGGAGGCCCAGAGGAAGACCCAGGACTCGCTGGAGGGACTATGTTTCTCGGCTGGCCTGGGAACACCTTGGGATTCCCCCAGAGGAACTGGCCCAAGTGGCTGGGGAGAGGGAAGTCTGAGTCTCTCTGCTTAGGCTGCTGCCCCCGGCCCGACCCCGGATAAGCGGCAGAAAACGGACGGACTGAGAGATTGAATAAGTTTTACTAATTTATCTAAAATTTTCTGAAGAGTAACAGCGCTGGGACTGTCCACGTGGAAAGACCCCTTCCTTTTGTCTTCACTAAATTTTTATCTCCTCTTGGCCCAAACTGTTGGGGCATATCCAAAACTGACCTTAACTGGTTTCCAACAGTAGGTCAGTGATGTGGCATTCCTACCTACGTGTGTAAGTGTATCACAATAGAGCCGTGGACAGACCCAGTTAAAGAAGTGAGCTTATTTTATTTGGCATGAACAGGGTTAATCCTGTCATGATAATCGTCATAGAAAATGGCTAGATATCAGGCTGCTGTATCAGCAAAATATCTAACAAAACCGAGGAATGATGGAATGATGCAGGCATTTGATTTAAGGGGAATATGACAGAGAAAAGATGATGTGCTTACAGGCTCTAGTGGAACCTGACCTGGAAACCAGACGATTTAGCTGCAGAGGACAAACCTGCAAAGGAGACATAAAGGAAAAGTAGACTTTGCGGATTAGACACGTTATCATTTCAATTTGTGTCAACAGAGCCGATTTAAACTAATAATAACTGGTTTTGAAATTGTGTAGTAAAACCAGAGTTATTCTAAGTAATTCACGTCACTTTCTTTCTGAAAATCCTCATCACATTTAAAGTCAGTAGCTGAAATAAATTAAGTTTTGCTGTTGGTTTTTACCCCAACCTCTGCCAAAAACAAACAAAAAAACCACCCCTTCACTTCTTTTCTCATTAAAACCCGAATTTATTTATTAAGTATATAAAAATGTGTATGGATGGCACAGTTTGTAGAGCTAATGCCTCTCAGCAAGAAGGTTGCCAGGTCAAATCCTGGCCCAGGACCTTTCTGGGTATATTAAAAAAAGGATTAAGTAAGTCGTCTGGACGGGTTCTTCTTTAATAAAACATTTCATCTCTCCTCCTTCTTCAGTCTGAGGAGTTTGAGGTGAACTCCGTCTTATAAGCACTGCCTCCACATGGTGGACAAACAGGTTGGTCACATGCAAGAGAGGACCATCAGCCAAACAATAGGTTGTTAGTGCCTTGATTAGCTCTATTGTTCATGGAGGGTCATGTGCCCCATCAAACTGTGGACCATGAAGGTGGCCAAGTTCTGTACCAGTACTGTGAGTTCATTCACCTGGCTGTATCTGCCGCTGCTGCATCAGGTTTGGCATTTTGACTGTTATTGAGCCACCAAGCTCAGATTTTGTTGTGTTTTCTTTTCTTGGACTTGAGACAGAGAGAGAAAAAACAGAGTGGAGTTTATTTTTTGGGGCTTTTTTGGAACTGAACTGAACAAAAGATTATCTAAGTTTACATTCAAATTATTATTTGCTGTGATAATTATTTTGTTTTTACTGTTGTGCAACAATACAGTTAATTTTTTTAAAGAAATTGTGGTATTTTTGGGTTTGATTTGTTTAACGTTTAGGGTGATAAGCACTGTTATATGCTTGCATCCTTTGTGAGGTTGTTGTGTTTTCAAGGGTAATATTATAAAGGCAAATACGTCAAGGGGGAGACGTGACTGGCACCCCAGACCTTGATTTCATGGACCCGTCACAAGTTGTTGAGCTGCCTTGTCAGCCTTCCTTTGTTAAATAAATACCTTTTTTACTCTGGACTCTTTACCTGTACGCTGGGTTGATCTCATCTGAACCTCACAGCGTGGGTATTTTATCTTTTTATTTACATTTGCCTGGCCTAATGTGAAAAAAATCTTATAGTATATAATATAGTGTATTTGTGATTACCTGTTATGAGCACTTGGTACTGTTATGGTGGGTGTTGGACTTTAAAGATATGAAACAATGACATGTAAACAAAACACAACAAGTCAATATAAGTTTATTTACTGCCAACATAGTACACCAAAGCACACATCCATAAAAAATAAAAAGTGAAAAAAAAACATTAAAAAACTGCATTTTTCCAACATTTGTAGACCCCTACTCATCTTTACTTCTAATGCTGTTGTTGTACTCAGTCCTCTTACTATGACCCAACTTTTTTAAAACAGAGGTTGTACTTCATAATATTAATCTTTAAAAAATATTGATTTGTCTTGAGTTTGTTTCTCATCTGATGTGAAGAACCTGTCACACTATAAGGTTTTAGACAACTTATGCCAACTTGTGATTTTTTTATGTCTAAATTACATTATTAATAAAGTTACATATTTTATCACTTTGTTAACATTACAGTATGTATACAGTATGCCTAAAGAGACTCCCTGTTGATTTTTATAATTCCATCTTCAACTGATATGTCTCTAAAAAGTTGGCATAAGTTGTCTAAAACATTATAGTGTGACAGGACCTTTATGTTTTTATGACATTCTACTCTGAGGGATTCCTCTCAGTCCAAATAAAGCACTCATTAAAATCATCTGAAATACAAGTGTTTTAAACAGTTTTAGCCTGATATGGGTTTTAAATTTTAGTTGACTTGTTTGAACATCCACCCAGCAGAAAAACCAGAACCAAACTGCTAAAATGTTTGTTGTTTGCAGACGACCACTCCAGGGTAAAGCTGAAAGCTGACATTAACCCTTCACGCGCCGACTACATCAATGCTAGCACCATCGTGAGTCCATTCACCTCTTTAGATGGTTACCATAGAAACAAGAAAACAAAGGTTTAGCTTACTGACCCTGAAAATTCAAAGAATAAAACTAAGAATCTGTGAGAGAGGCTCTGTTTACCAAAATAAAAGCCTCTGTCTGCAGATTGAGCATGACCCACGGATGCCGGCCTACATCGCCACCCAGGGACCGCTGTCCCACACCATCTCTGACTTCTGGCAGGTCAGTCGGGTCCAGATCCTACTGGGCAAGTGTGTTTGTTATTGTCATTTACCTTGTTGTTGTTGTGTAGATGGTGTGGGAGAATGGCTGCACTGTCATCGTGATGATGACTGCTCTTGTGGAGGATGGAGAGAAACAATGTGACCGCTACTGGCCCGATGAAGGCTCGTCCCTCTACCACATCTATGAGGTGTGTATGCATTTGTTTGTCTGTCAGCAAAACAGCTGTAGAACCACTGGATGTATTTCAATGAAACACTCTGAAACTAACCATTGGATGTTCTTCTACAACTGAATAACTTTTGGAGTCAATTCTAGATGACAACCAATGCTAATTAAACTTAGCAAATATAGAAATGGTTATAACTACATTCATTTTTACAGATGTGGCGCTAACATTTAGTGTGGTAGTAGCTGAAAGTCATCCCCAACCATACAGTTGAATATATATATCAGAGTAGGCGCAGCCTATACTTTCCACTGTTAGCATCTGTGACAACATGGAGGAGCAAAAATGGGGACCGATCAGGCTCACAGCCATCATCGCAACTATTAGATTAACAGCAAGCCCAACTGGATCTGTGTCACATTACCTGTAATATTTTTACAATAAATTAATAACTATGGTAATTTCCTTCAACAATCATGTAAAACAGCAGAAATATATCAGAAAAATCTGCTATTTATAAGTAACAATGATCTAAACCAGACCTAAATTTGGTAATAACTTAGACTTAAGCTAGTTGAAAAACTACGACTTCAACTACTAATAAAGTATATTTATTATTTCTTACTGTTGTTGGGGTGGAATAAATGGATCGTTTTACTTTATACCAGGGGTGGGATGTTAGTCAATTTCCATGAGGTGCTGTCACGCTTTGAATAATTGCAGACACAAAGTGCTTAAAATGAACATATGGGGTTTTTGATTATAAATTTCCTTAATGTTCACATGACTGGTTGTCATGTGAAAAGGGGGAATTGAAGAAATTTATTGGGGTTATTTACTACTGATTTATAAAGACACTACACATTGTATAGTCTTTTATTAGGTGAACAGTAATGTATTTCCATAATGTGGTTATCTCTGACTTAATTGATGATTTTATATGCAGACTGGGTTGTGGGGCTCTTGATCAGGGTCTCACACACTCAGGAGGCTTTTAGTTAGATACATGTCTGATTTAAAAACAACACATAAGAACTGTGATCAAACATTAGTGTGAGGGATGATGTCTGACATCTTGACTCCATATAGGAGTAGACTGCCCCTTTAATATATGTCATGAGGTGGAGTCAGGATGCGAAGAAGGCTGTTACTTGATGTGTGTTTCCTGGTTTTTTTAATCACTGTTAAGCTGATGCCTGTCGAAGGCAGATTTAAACAAAAGCTAATCAGTCCACAGCTGTGTCTGAATGGTTTTGTATGGCTCACTCCAACATTCACGTCATTATTAACTGGTATTAGATCTGAACAGGTAAAGGGTGACGAACATTGCTTATTTTTTAACACTGTCATAAATGATAATAATACAGTATATATTTACCAATCAACACTTAGAAAATGTTCTCTGCAAACCCAATTATAGGATGAAACTTGTCTCTACTGATTTTAGCAAACCATCTTCTCAGCAGGTCAGGTTTGTCTAACATAAACCTAAAAATAGTTAAATATATAAGATTATTTTACACTCTATGAACCTAAATCAGAGGACAAATCAGCTTTTAAAATTTTATAATATGTGCTAAACTATAGCATGATTCAGAAGAGTACAACAATATGCTACACAAGCTAATATCTACTAGCCAATTCAATAAATAACAGTGATTACATTGGCTTTATAAATGTATTTTAATTTTAAACTGTTAAATTATTAGCTTCAGTTCTAGTCAGATCACATCCACATCGAGGTAAATAAGGTAAAATCTGCTTACTTGTGAAACACGACCCGTTTCTCTTCTGTTGCTACATCCATAACATACATAGCTTCTGGCATTATTTAAAACATTAGATAGATTATATACACTCTAAAATATTAATAATAATTTTGTTTTTATGACATCGTCAGTCCTTTTTTTGCTATGCTGCCAACATGTACAGTAATGGTAAATCCAGACTCTTGCCTGTTATGCGTAGCGCTGTAGCTTCTACAGTAGATCACACGGTCACGTGGTTTCTGCTCACTCCAGCTGTTCTATATACCTCTATGACCCCAACATGTGGCCAGAGCACTAACAGATTCTTCACATTTGCATGATTTTTTCCCCTAGATTTGCTTTTTTGAATCAATTTAAAAGTTGATCTGATTCTTGATGGTCCTGTCAACAGAGCCCAAACAGTGTTTCACACAATGATGTCCAGACCCCAGCTTTGGGAAACAGAACACGTGTCAAACTCAAAGCCAAGACATGTGACGTGGCAAGCCAAATGTGTCTTGCCACGTCATTTTATGTGGCCTACCAGAGCTTCCAAGATTAATGTCATTAAAATAAGCACATACTGCTTTAAAACCAGCATTGACTATAAACTACATCACCTGCTATTTTACCCATGCAATGGCTGCATCCCACTGTTATGATCCGAGTGTCTAAAAGCAATGGGCTCAACACACGAGGACCGGCAAAGGACAGCAATTAATGACTGTCATCGCAACCAGGGATGCTTGTAAAGTTTACTGGGGGTTGGCAAAAAAAAGAATGTTGTGCATTTTGACATTTAAACTAAACAAATCTAGCGATACTAATGATATTGAAAACAAATGCAAGCCAAGATACAATTTTATGAGGAAAACCATACTGGACAACTTCACCCTGGCACCAACAAGTTACCATACAGCTGCCTTTTTATGTGTATCTTAGTAATCACTTCATGAAGTGTCATATAAAATTGGAAAATTTGACAGAGCTAAAATAATATTGAAAGTGTTAGCTAACTGTAGTGTGTAGCATACTCTCCACTCATTGGTCAGTCAATGAAACCCTTGCTGATTGTTTGTAACAACATGCGACAGCGACAAAAGTTGAACATTTTTCAACTTTCATATGTCAAGTCTCAAGCTCGCATGTCTACGTGTACGAGCGCGAAATGAATGAATAAGTTTAGCTGTTGCTTGGCTGGAGGAGGGCAAGTGATTGTGGCCTCATCGCACAAGTTCCATAGGAAATGAATGGAGAGAGAGAGAGAGAGAGAGACGTCTCTTCCCGTGTGTCAACCTTTAACTCCGGACGACTTACAGAGTTCAGACAGTTTAAATGTTTAAACAATGTTTATTACAACAAACGTCAGTCTGAATAGAAAGAGAACTGGGAGCCCTGGCTAAAACAAACTAAAAGAGAGAGAGTGTACCAAACCAACCAGCAACTGACAATCGGTCAGGCACCACTCGTCCCACAACCAAAACCTTGGTAGATACATCCCATTTAATTGCCAAATTGCTGCTGGACACTGTGGGGTGCAGCAGAGGTGACTGAAAGGTAAATGGTAATGGTAAATGTACTGTACTTGTGAAGTGCCTTTCTACCAACCCACACTCAAAGCACTTCACACTACAATCTGTGTTCTCATTTACCCATTCACACAGCACTCTACCAGATCTGATACAAAGCTAACATGTAAAATCAACTATGGAGACTAATCAGTGCCAATCACATTCATACACTGATGGGTCACACATCAGAGGCATTAGGGGTGAAGTGTCTTGCCCAAGGACACAACATTTGAGACAACTGGACGGGGAATTGAACCAGAAACTTCCGGTTCCAGGACGACTCCCCTAACCAGTCTTCCACAGCTGCCCCAAGGTAGCAACAGTGGTGGGCACAGTTCCCCTAAAGCACTAAAGTACTAATAAGGGAACCAATTTTTTCCTGATTAGTGCTTTAGGGCTTTTGCTAATTTTAAGACTTATTAGTGGATTAGCACTTGATACATTTATAGACTAAATTTAGAAGCAGCTGAGATCTATGAATGTTACTGATCAACGTTAATGTTAACAGCTGAGGGTGAAAGCTGTCACACATCTTGTTCATATGTGTGTCACTCATCCACCAGGTGACAATATATGAACCCAAATAAGGCTGTGGAATGTCAATGATAAGTATTGAGTGCAACATGTGACTCTCGTTGTCTGTTGATGAATGTTCATGGGTTGACTGGGTTTTTTTAGTGCTTTAGGGGAGCTTCATTAGAGCTAAACAACCAAAAAAATCTTTAAGCTCCTATGTTGAACAGTTTCTGAGTAATAAGCATTTTTGCACATCCATACACCCATTTTTCAGAAATTTGGGGGTCCAGGGGGTGGGGGGCACTGATTGGTGGGCCTTATGGATAGAGGCTTCATCAGAGCTAAACAACAAAAGAAATCTGAAGCTTCTATGTTGAACAGTTTCTGAGTTAAAAGCATTTTTGCATGTACAGACACCCCCACTTTGAAAGGAGCCCCCTCCTCAAATTTAGGGTCTATTGTAAAACCGTTGTCTGGCGCAGTGTAGGTCAGACTCATCTACAGTCCTGCCAAATTTCATGTTGATTGGTGCAGCCGTTTTTGTGCCACGGTTGATCAAAAATCTCCGGAGAAAAAAAAACAATAAATAAACAGTACGAAAACAATATGACTCCCGCTTACGCTTCGCGTGTGGGGGTCATAATAACAACTGGCCCTCTGCAGGCAACCATAACGCTCATTCGGCCCTTAGGGAATCACTCTGCAAATGGGATTATGTTTTCTTGTTTTCTTAGGTAAACCTGGTATCGGAGCACATCTGGTGCAACGACTTCCTGGTGCGCAGTTTCTACCTGAAGAATGTGCAGACACAGGAGACCCGCACACTCACTCAGTTCCACTTCCTCAGCTGGCCTGCGCAGGGCATCCCCACCTCCACACGCCCCCTGCTGGACTTCCGCAGGTCCTGCAGCCACACTTCAACTTTATAATGATGCTGCTTTTTAATCCTGTCTGATCCTGCTGAGCTTTAGGGTTCAAATAATTCCCGAGTTCAGCTTCTGTGCATTGTTATTCCAGCTTTATTTAGAATAAAAGCTGTTGAGTTAGTCATGGCAACTAAAAAGCTACTGCTCACATAATCATTTAAAACAATGAAAATCTGAGTCCATAAAAAGTTAGGATCAAAATAAGCATAACCATAATGATTAGCTAAGTTCAGAACTAACTGTGGATTATCCTGGTGATTATCACCACCTGTTAGTGATCAAGCTACCTTCACACTGAACACATTTTGAGCATCAGGGGCTTCAGGTTTAACATGCAAAGTCTATGGTGGACGGACATCAAGAAGCGTCAGGAAGTGCTGCGGTGCCTTTTGAAGCATTTTGAGCGTTTGATACGTGTCATGATTGAAGTCTGCTATTTTGGATCAAAGCTGCCAGTTTTTCTTTTCTTGCACATGTACCGGAGCTACTCCCCCTACAGCTTTGAACATGCAGACTTCACATACTGCAGGCTTCACATGCTGCAGACTTCACATACTGCAGACTTCACATGCTGCACACTTCACATGCTGCAGGCTTCACATACTGCAGACTTCACATGCTGCACACTTCACATGCTGCA